TTCAGCCTTCCATCCTTTCTAAGGTAGGTGAAATGAGGACCCAGTTTGTGGGGGCAATAAGCTGACTTTGTATAAAATATACAAAAGAATGAAGGCTATTGCTTAATGCATTGTAAGCCACCCTGAGTCTCCGGAGAAGGGTGGCACATAAATCAAATTAAAAAAAAAAAAAAGTGAGTTTTACAAACTTTCTTGCCACAGTTGTTAAATGAATCACTGCTGTTACTAACACAGTTGTTAAGAGAATCTGGCTTCCCCGTTGACTTTGCTTGTCAGAAGGTCACAAAAAGTTTTGATCACGTAGCCCTGTAGCCATCATAAACGCATGCTAGTTACCAAGTGTCTAAATTTGGATCACATGACCATGGGGATGCTTCAGCATTTGTAAATGTAAAAAAATGGTCATAAGTAACTTTTATCACTGCCGTTGTAAGGTCACTAAACAAACTGTAAGTGAAAGACTACCTGTACGAAATGTGTAGGCTGCTGTCAGAAAAACAGGCAACAGTGGGTATTCCATAACACTGATTCTTCCAAGTTATTATGATGACTTGGTGGAACTCTGCACACCTGATGCTGGGACCCCTGCACTAGACCCAAACTGGCTCTCCTGCAGTATTAAGCAGGAGGTTCAGGAACGCAATAAATTCAGAGGCAGCTTCTTTCCCCGGAACCTGCCTCTCTCTCTCTCTCTCTCTGACACTGTAGTTCATTCTGCCAGCCTGGGGAAGACTTGGGAGTGTTATGTTTGTACAGCTGTTTTTTTCTGCCTTGTTCTCTAAAATACCAATCTGTCAAAATAAAGTCAAAGCTAATGATGCTTCTTGCATGAGACTTCTTTGGCATTAATAAAACCAAGATGTTCTCTTGATTTATGCCACCTTCTAAATGTCATGGAATGTGGCTCTAAGCACTCAGCACATCCACAAGGAAAATGCAATGAGTGTGCTGAAGTGATGCATGGTGATGCACAAAAATTAGCATTGCAGACCCCCTTGCAGTTTTCACCTCAACACCGCAACCCTCCTGGGGATGGACACATTGATGCTCTGGGTGGGGTTTGGTTTTTGTTTTATTTTTTGAATTAGCAGAAAGAGGATTCTATATGGGCACGCCCAGCTTCTGCTCTGGATCAGTGATTGGGGGCGGGTGTGTGTGTGTGAGGGTTGTCATATTTTTATAGTGGATCCTGCCCACCTAAACAGGCATGCAAAATGTGAGTAGATAAATAGGTACCATTTCAGTGGGAAGGTTCCATGCACCTCAGTGTATAAATATGCTGGCCATAGGACCACGGAAATGTCTTTGGACAATGCTGGCTCTCTCAGCTAAGAAATGGAGATGAGCATCACCTCCTAGAGTTGTATACAACTGGTCAGAGAAAACCTTTACCTTTACCAGAAAAGCACCATGACGACAAAAACTATGTGGGTATTTTAGATTCTGCTATGTACTTATTTGATTTTTATCCTGCTATTATTATTTTAGGAGTAACTCAAGGTGACAAACATACATAATCCTTCTCTTATTTTCTCCACAACAACCATACTGTGAGGTAGGTTGAACTGAGAGAAAGTCAGCTTTCCTGTCTAAAGCAAGACTAGAACTCACCATCTCCTGGTTTCTAGATCAGCACTTTAACTGCTACCCCAATTGGCTCCATCAAACTATACACCACACTTTAACTATAAATAAGAAAGGATTGAATTCGTGTGAAATTACGGCCTACCATGCTGGAGAACATTGTACTATCAAGTGACATTTTTGTTCTGAACAAACAGGGCACCCAGCTAGGACCATGTCCGTTATGTTTGCCATATTTTTATTTCATTTAAAAGAAAAAAACACCACATTTAAACTGAAGAGAACTTGATGAGAATATGAAATATCCATAGCTGTACAGTTTGGGGTTTCTATAGCATTTTTCTGGTTCTAAAACACTTTAATAATTCTTGTCCTTGAGGCAATCTTGAAAGACATGTTTAATTAAAAGGAATGAGGCCTGCCCGTGGTGGTCTGAAAATCTGCCAGTTGATGATCTCTTCCACACTGAGTAGCAAAATTCACTTCACCAGCTCTGTTCTAATATTCACCAACTGGCTTCTATTACCTCAAGGAAAAAAATGTGTGGTAATAAAAGGAGATGCGCCTGTATCACAGGCTACACCAGAGCATTGTTATTATAAAACACATATAAAACTGCAGATGTTCTTCATTTATATTAGCTTACAAGATGAAGTTCAGAACTTCCTTTTATCTTTATAGATCCATAGTGACGTGCACATACAGCAATCCAACACATGAGCAAGACTAGGAAAAGAAATAAAATCACTTCTAGTTTCCAGCTGAAAGACAAGGAAAAGCCTATTCAGAATTACTGTTAAAATACTTATTAACTAAAACTTAGTTAATGGGAACTGAAGTCCTATAAGTGGCAGATCAAACAACTTATTATTCATATTGACTTCTTTGTTGAATTCTTTTTGTTCAGTTTACTCTACAGTGGTAGATTTCTGATGTATTCATCCTTCAAATCATCCTTGGGTTCATATCCAAGGATTTCATACATTAACGAAGCTGCACAATTCTTAGAGGATTTGAATTCCAACCAATTGTCTCAGAGGATCTTGAGGAGGTTTCCAGAGCACTTTGCAAAGGACCAAAGAGAAATCACTTATGGCCTACAATACTGGAGATTTGGGACATATAATGAATGTCTGATCTCATATAGGCCTGATACACAGTTATGGATATATTGGTGAAATGGGAGGTGGGGTAAAAAAAAATTGGGGTTCTTAAGGAGCAAAAGCAAAGTAAAAATATCCCAACTTAAATTGGGTCAGGGAAACACTGCCAAATAATGGTAAAATTAAATGACTGATTGATTAAGAGGTAATTCCTAAGGGAATCTGGAGGTGATACTGCCAACCACATCCCATTGTTCATAAGTAATGATTTTACTATGGGTCTCAGCCTGACAAATGAGGTGGAATGAAATAATAGCCTAGGGTGAAGATGCTGTCTAAGCAAAAGAGACAGATTTCACTGAATGCAGTGAAATTTAAATTAAACAAAACCACAACTCCAGTATGCCATCATCACTGGTGTATTCATTAGGGCTACAGGCAAAAAAAAGCAAAACTAAAACCCAGTAATTAAAATAACAAACATTATTAAGAACAAGTTTAACAGAGGTTATAATAAAACAAGCATTCCATATATCTATTCTGGCACTGGAATAGATGGGCTGTGTTTTATGTACAAAAATATTTAACAAATATGCTTGGCGTTTAGATCCAATCTAACACAAATGGCAACCTTAGGAGGTATTTATTCAGGTTATGGACAAAATAAAATAAATTAAAGCACTGTCTTTTTACTTGCACCATTATTGCAGTGCTTTTACCATTCACCACCACTGCACTTTTCAAGATCCTCAGTCAGCTCCCTTACCTTCTAAATAGCAATCTTTCTGCCTTGAGTGGAAAGAGCCACTCTGAACTGCTTGAGAGAAATAGGAAACTATGGCTTCCAGATGCTGAACTACAACTCCCAGCAACCCCAAGTCAGTAAATTCAGTGATGAAAATGCTGCACTTCAGCATCATGTGAAGAGCCGCAAGTGCTTCAATTTAGAAAATTATTAATTCATTTTAGCAAATGCACTCCCCCCCTACTGTGCATAGTTGGGTCTTTTTCAAATTACACTTAATTTCAAAGCAATCTTGCCAAAGTGTATTTGCTCACTTAAATTGAAACTTTATAATGTCACAAGATAGCTCTGTCCTCCAGCTTCAAATTATAACTAACTAAATTAATACTGTAATTTAAGTGAAGTGAAAGTACACTTAAAGTGACTTATTTTATCATCACTAATTGAAACCAATTGTTTGGATGGTTGGATGAAATTTCTAGTGGAATAGCCTGGTTAATTTTTCTTCCCGCTCATGCTAATCTTGAAAGTAAACCAAGATAAATGAGTAGATTAACATCCAGGTAACTAGCATCAATCAGGAGAAAATCGATACATAGTCACCAAGTGTACACTAACTTAATGGCACATAATCAACTATCATTCAAATGATTTTGTGATTTATTGTATATATTAAAAAGGACAAAATTGATCTCCCAGATCTTTGAGAAATGGCTGAGTTCACAGATTTCAAAGCTATATGTTTGATCTAGTATGTTATGGAATCTAATTGTAATAATTGAAAAAATCATGCTTAATCAATAGGAACCTAGAGAACTGTTTTCAATAAGCTATGGTTTATTTTTAACCATTTTAAATTATGAGTTAGCATAACTAGGACAATGTGTGAATGAGCCAATGCTTGGATCAGAACTCCAAATCATAGGTAAGATGGTGCAGATAAGCAGAAATATTCAGAATTTTGCATAGATGGCATCAATATAGAAATACAACTTCACCCTATTAAGGCAGATTTACAATTTATTATCTCCATGTAAATAATGGGCCCTAGGACCCAGAAGACTCAGGGCAAAGGGCATTGACCTCATTCAAGTAGGACAAAGGCTTTTTAAAAAAAAAATACTGCACAGCTGTTTCCTAAGGATCTAGGACCTATTCTCAAAACCTTGTTTTAAGTAGCAATCCCTTTCCTATGTTATAAAAATATCTCTTTAATGCAAACTCTTTACTTCTAGAACTGTAATCCTGCATGCACTTGGGATGTTGAAATCCACTTAATCAATGCAATTAAAAAAACAAGATGGAAAAATGGCACCCAATTTTAATCTACTATGCTACTGAGAGATTATGTATACTTCTAAGGGGGTCCCATTACAGTATTGTAGGCCTGAGTGAAGTAATTTTAGTTAGGCCAGTAAAGATCCAGGATGTTTAAAGCAATAATGTTTCCAGCAGCTGTAGTTCAAAGGAAATGCTTACATTTTTTTCCAGAACCAACAGACAGACATTCATTCAATCAATCAGTCACAACAAATCAGTCACAACAAAGAAGCAAAGTATCTCATGAATGTAGTCATAGAACTTTTTAATACTTTACCAAAAAAAGTCCTGCATATACAGCTTAGATGATTTTAAGTAAACTTCACATGTCTTTTCTGTAACCAAATCAATATAGTGTTTTGTGTGTTTGTTTTAAATAATAAAACTCTTAGTACCACTGTTAAAAATGGTCAGTGGGGAAGGGGATTAAATCAATCAACTCTCTGAAACAGAGAAGCACAGGTTATTCTCACACATACCACTCGGAAGTTGGCTGGTGAAAATAAGCGTACTACTGTTTTGAGATGGCACCCAGAGATGGCACTTAGTGCTGAAAAAGTAAAACAAAAAAAAATGACAAAAAATGTCACATTCTTTTTTTTTTTAAAAAGAGAAAGACAGTGTTTCCACTCATTTCTTGATGCAACAACAACCCCAGAAGATATTACAGTGGCTTTACATAGGTCATCAGTTATACAGAAACAAAGGCGCACAACCCAGTCAAAAAAAAAAAAAGAGAGAGAGAAGCATTTGAAAGTCCCATTGATGGCTATCTGATGAAAGTTCTTCAAAGGCTCAACTTCAAGGAAGGAAGGAGGGTGTTAAAAAGTGTTTCCCCTGGAAAGTGCTTAGCTGGACTGTGCTCCAAATGAGGTTCTGACACAAGGGTTTGTTTGTTTGTTTTTTGTTGCAATGGTACAGTGTCACACTGCACATCACAAGTGCATTAGGGTGTCCAAATCACCCTCATCATTGTGCAAACTAGGTTCTTTTGCAATAGAAATCAGATTAAAGGGATGGGGGGGGGGAGAGCAAAAGACAGAAAGGAGGGCATCCAAACCATATCAAGGACAGCAGGCACCAGACTCTGGGAAGTTTGGGAATTGTCTCCACCTCCCCAGCAACCCAAGGGGAACAAATTATACCATTCTTCTGTGAGAAGTGGTTATCTCAAGAAGGAAAAAAATATTTTCATTGTGGAAGGGGCTAAGAAGACGGAAGTCCAATCCACTCAAGACCCCCCCCAAAAAAAACCCTTAGAATCAGTCTCAGAGAGAGCAAGGTCCCAGTCCAGTGTTAAAACAAGCCCCATCCTTTCCTTGCCCCAATTCAAACAATTGGCTATGTACACTCAGCAGATGCCCCTCCCTCCCTCCCTCCCTCTCAGCGTTTCTCAATGCAGGAACTCTCTTCCCAGCTTTGAAGGGAAACACCGATTCAGTGCAAGGTGGGGGGAGAAAGGATCCCGATTTAGGCAGATCCCGTCCACCAGCCTCCTTCCAAGGGAAGAGCAAGGCGGCAGCGGGCCGCAGCTACAGTCTTCCGATCTCCTCCTGCAGTTTTTTTTTCACGGGAGATCTAGGCGCGGCGCACCAATAGGCAAGTCCAGTTCCTTTCCTCCAGCGCGTTCGGTTCGCGGAAGTCCGACGACTGTCTTTCGCGAATGAGGAACCACAGGCATATGAGAGCCAAGATCAATGAACGGGAGTTTGCATCAACCGGCGGCGGGGGGGGGGGACCCCTTCGTGAAAAATCAACGCTTCCCCCACGTCCAAACGAGCGCGTGTTTTTGCTCTCTCCCACCCCCACCCTTCCCCGGTTTTTTTGTTCTGCAGGCGGGCTCTCTCCGACGGGCTTTAGGAGTCAGCCCCGAGTCCCTCGACGCTCGTCTCCCGCCCCCTCCTCCCTTTTCCCCCGGGCGTCCACGGCATTATAGCACCTTGCAACAATTGATGCAACCGTTCTGGGTGCCGTAGCGCTTCTGCAAAGCCGCTCGGGTGGCCGTCTCGAAGACCTCCCGCACGCCTTCCTTGGTCTTGGCCGAGCACTCGAGGTAATCGTAGGCTTGGATGCGAATGGCCATCGCCCGGCCGTCTTCGGTGCGGACGGGCTCCTGCTTCATGCGGGCCAGCTCGTTGCGAACGTGCTCGTCGTTGCGCAGATCTTTCTTGTTGGCCACCAGGATGATGGGCACGTTGGGGCAGAAGTGCTTCACCTCGGGCACCCATTTCTCCGGGATGTTCTCCAAGGAGTCCGGGCTGTCCACCGAGAAGCACATGAGGATCACGTCGGTGTCCGGGTAGGAGAGAGGACGCAAGCGGTCGTAGTCTTCTTGGCCGGCCGTGTCCCAAAGGGCCAACTCCACCTGCTTGCCGTCCACCTCGATGTCGGCCACGTAGTTTTCGAAGACGGTGGGCACGTAGACTTCGGGGAACTCGTCTTTGCTGAAGACGATCAGCAGGCACGTCTTCCCGCAAGCCCCGTCGCCCACCACCACTAGCTTCTTGCGGATCGCCGCCATGGCCAGGGTCGCCAACCCCGCCCTGTTGTGGTGCTCCAGCAGGGAGACCGAAGCGCTCTCTTCCCCGCGCCTGGTTGCTGTTCCTCCGGCCTCTTCGCCTTTTCGACAGGGCAGCGTGGCTCTCTTCTCCGGGCGCCGGGGGCAGAGATAATGGCTCTTCCGCGCGGCTTTAGGAAAGGGGGATCCGCCCACTTCGCCCGGGCCTCGCTTCTCTTCTTAGCTGGCTCCTCTGATGCCCTCTGCCTGCTTGCATGGAGAAATGGATCTCGGCTCCTCGGCGCTCTTCTGTCCCCCAGATTCCCTTTCCAAGAGGACGCGGAGGCAAGGCGGAAAGGAAGCGAAAGCACCGGAGCTCTTAAGAAAGTGGCTGCAGTTTTTTTCTTCTTCTTTTTTTTTTCTTTCCCCCTGCAAGTTTTGTGGCCCGGCTTTGCTTTCCCACCTTTACTTTCTTCCTTTCTTTCTTTTTGTCAAAAGAGCGGAGCGAGCCGTCCGTACTTTATGCCATAGCACGGCGACAGTCGGACGCTGCTATTTAAAGGGGCCGGCTACTTTCTTAATATAGCTGGCCAATGGAAAGGAAAAGGATGAGGTCATCGGTTTGGAGGAGGCGGGTGATTGGTGGAGAGTATTGCAGGCGCTGGGGTGGGGCGGGGGAGAAGCAGGAAGTGAGTGACAATCGATCATGAAAAGAGGGAGGGGTCTTTTCTGCTATTTCGTGAGCTGCTGAGATTTTTTTATTTTTGGGGGGGGAAGGATCCGAAGCAAGAAAAGAGGCTTTAGAATTTTTGTCATTTGAAAATTTAGAATTTTCAGGTTCTTCCAAATTCCCTGCTCTAATCTGGAGGGCTTTTGTTTTTTTTTTAAAAAAAGTTTCGTCCAAGGTAAAAAAAAAAATTATTCTCTCTTTAGTCTTCCCATCTAGCTCTCGCTTCCAGACACCCTCCCCCTCGCAGCACCCGTTGTATAAACGATACATATTAGCTCGGTTCAAGAAAGAACCACAAAAGGTGGCTTAAAAAGGCTCTGCATATTTATTTATTTATTTATTTTATTTTAGAGCTTTTCTATGCAGTACTGTTTTATTTATAAAGACTCGACAAGCAGTAGTTGGTCACTTGTTGCTGAGTTCACTGGATTCAATTCGAATCAACCCTCCAATTTAAATTGGGGTAGTTTAAGAGGAGGTGATAAAAGTACTCTGGAACAGGGGTCTCCAAGCTTGGCAACTTTAAGCCTGATGGACTTCAACTCCCAGAATTCCCCAGCCAGCAAAGCTGGCTGGGGAATTCTGGGAGCTGAAGTCCTCCAGGCTTAAAATTGCCAAGTTTAGAGACACATGTTCAGATTATCATCTAAATGAATATGATCTATATAATTGATGAATTTTTATGGCCCAACTCTCCTCAAATGAAAGTAATATTTTGCAGTACAAAGTCAGGGCCCTATCAAGCTGTGGTTTATGTAATGAGCGTCAAATCATATAAGAAGAGAGGTTCATGCTGACATTCTACATGTATGATAAAACTTTTTTAAAAAAACAACAACAACCCTACTGTATCCCTTAGGACAGGAGTGGGCAAATGGTGCTCTTTTACAACCTGTGGACTTCCAACTCCCAGAATTCCTGAGCCAGCTTTATCCTAAACCCCTGCCTTAGGATAATGGAGAAAACCTACCTATGTGATCCTTAAGAGTCAACAACCACTTGATGGCACATCATTATACCACTACCATAAAATGTAGCCATGCCATAGTAGAGAAATTAAAAGAAAAAAATGTAATGAAATTCAACTCCTTGGGAATTATTTAGAACCGATTTGAAATAAGAAATTCTCTGTTTAGTTTTAAAACAAGAGTTTTTGCTTTTCTTCCAACACCCGACGGTACCAAAATGTTCACAAAAAATGAAAAATCCAAAGAGCTGTGACTCTAGTAAGTCAATGTACTAACAATACTGAGTGCTACGCAGAATCAAATAAGGTGGATTTTGCAATACAGAAGCGGATTGTAACAACCCTCTTGGCTCTAAAGTCCAGCAGAATTACTTCAGATTAAGTGTCAGTCACAGAATAATGAGTTGGCAAAGGATTGGTGAGCATTTGAGTTCAACTCACAGCGGTTCTGTATAACACGTTGGCTCCCAATGGTGAGGCCTGAGTAATTTTATTTAGAGGACATGTTTAGAGGACATAAGCAGCTTCAACTTATCCTTGATTGTTGTTCTAGCCAATCTAAAAAAAAAATACTTTCAACTTTCCTGCAGAGTTGATTTTGATTTGTTAGTCTGATCTACCTAATGGGGCTCATATCAGTCTTACAAACATTTGGTCTCTTCCTCCTCCTTGCTTAGTGAATTAGGGAGGCGTCTGACAGAGCCGCTTCCAAATATTATCTGTCTATTGTAAACTGAAAATATGTTTTACTCCTCATCACCCTGGCAATATATCTTGCATATGTCCATCAAGGTCATCTTCTTTTCTTTCTAGATATAAACCACTCCCTCCTACTTCAGTCTTTGCTCCTGTTATCAGATTAATTTTTGCCAAGCTGACTAATAATAGGCATGGAAGAGGGGGTTTGCTGAGTGGAAGCAAAGGGAGCATTCCCTCTCATGTCACTAGGCCCGGCAATTGGACAGGTGGCTAAACCCACTAATCTAAGCAACTGTCTAAACATTGCCCTATCCCACTCCATATTAGGGAGAGTGGTTGAATTTCCCCCTCACTGGCAGGTGAAGCTTAATAAAAACAGAAACAAAGCTGGAGAAATCTATTAATCTTTTTCCTAAATGTGACCCACAATCGTAAGTAAGGTTAGCACCATTTATTTTTATTATTTTTTTTGTCTCATTACTCTGTTGAATAGGGCTTGGCGGCGGGGAATATTCCATTTACACTTTTCTACTTATTAAAGGACTAGCAGAAAGTATTTGAACCAGATGGGAAGATTTGTATTCTTCCCAGTAATTATTTTCTCTTTAAGGAATACTCCCTGTTAATCAACCTCCACCCTCACTCCCACACCAGTCCATTCTGACTTCTTCCCCATAGTTCTCCTTACCCTTTCATCACTTTCCACCCTCTGTCCCATCCCACTTCCCCACTTCCCCAATGATAGGCTGGTTTCCACTGAATCACAGTGGTCCCATTTCCTCCTCCCATCCAACGTGCTCGTCGTTGCGCAAATCTTTCTTGTTGGCCACCAGGATGATGGGCACGTTGGGGCAGAAGTGCTTCACCTCGGGCACACATTTCTCCGGGATGTTCTCTAAGGAGTCCGGGCTGTCCACCGAGAAGCACATGAGGATCACGTCGGTGTCCGGGTAGGAGAGAGGACGCAAGCGGTCGTAGTCTTCTTGGCCGGCCGTGTCCCAAAGGGCCAACTCCACCTGCTTGCCGTCCACCTCGATGTCGGCCACGTAGTTTTCGAAGACGGTGGGCACGTAGACTTCGGGGAACTCGTCTTTGCTGAAGACGATCAGCAGGCACGTCTTCCCGCACGCACCGTCGCCCACCACCACTAGCTTCCCTTCACTTCCCCAATGATGGGCTGGTTTCCACTGAATCACAGTGGTCCCATTTCCTCCTCCCATCCAAGTTCTTCTTTCCTTTTCTTTTTTTTGTTTTTTCCAAGCAACCAGCAACAAGATAGGTTTTAGCCAAAGGTAACCAGGTTTTAGCCAGTGGTGAAATCCTACTGGTTCGCACCGGTTCTGGAGAACCATTAGTTATAAAATCTACCAGTTGGTGAACCGGTAGTAAAAAAAAGCTACCGGTTGGTCGAAACCGGTATTTCTGATGATCAGCTGTGCCGCGCAATTTATATTCTGGAATATAAATTCTGGAAATTCTGAAAATATTCTGGAAATTCTGCTTTCTAGCTAATCTAAATCACGCAGCACAGCTGTTCCCCCCTTGCTGTTCTACTTACCTTCAAATGGCTCCTTTTTTACTCGTGAAGCACGCATTTGGTGCGCACTGCGCATGCGTGCACACTCAGCGCACATTTGGTGCACATTGTGCGTGCAGCATGTGTTTGGTGCACACTGCGCCTGCGTGCACACGCAGCATGCATCTGGCACACTGCATGCATGCATGCAGTGCGCATCTGGTGCGCATTGCACATGCACAGGTAGCAAATCGGTGGCGACTGACAGAGGATTTCACCACTGGTTTTAGCCCTCTATTGCGCAAGTTTTGAATGTCTTAGAATTCAGAGAGAGAGAGAGAGGGAGAGCTTATTAATACTACTGAATTAATATCATCATTATGATATTCATTCAGCCTTCCTTGTGATCGCACATGGACACAGCAAATAATCTTTTAAAATCATGCTAAAAAAATAATGTTTGCCTTGTCTCAATATACTAGTTTCTCCAGATTCTCTACCACCCATTGGTTTTTTTCCATCAGTTATAGCTCCTTCTGTTCCCAAACCCCATGTTTTCTCCTTAGTCCGTTAAGTTATGGTGACCCACGTGTGCATAAGTATTAATACTGATATCCCACCTTTCTAGCCAAAATCCTATTCAAGATTGCTCAGAACAAAACAATATAACTAAGATGGCATCTGGGGAGAATGATTTTTGGAGATGAGCTTATGAGAGAGAGTTAATTGGTGGGTTTTGGACTGGAAATACATAGCTGGGTTGATGGTTGTGATAATTTTTTGGGAGGGTGGAAATCTTACTGGGCAGCTATGGCATGGGCTCTGGCAGTATTGGAACAGGGCACTGATAGTAGGGAGATGTTAACTGTCACCCTATAGCAGAGGTGGGGAACTATGGCCTCTTTATGACTTGTGGACTTCAACTCCCAGAATTCCTGAGTCAGCCTTGTTGGCTCAGGAATTCTGGGAGTTGGAAGTCCACAAGTCATAGAAGGGCCATAGTCCCCCACCTCTGCCCTATAGAGTAGATCAGACTGAGAACCTCATACGTAAAGGGCTAAAACTCCTTTAACTAGAACAGCTATAACACAGCAGAATCCTGCAAGTCTGAATGTGCTTCCCTCCTCCCTCACTTAATCTTTGTGTGAAGTAAGGAGCAGCCATCTGTTTTCCCCACCCCAATTAGTTTCTTGGAATCGACTTCAGCAGCTCTTGCTTGATTATTGCTTTGGTAAACAGATCTTCCTATTTTCCTTTAAGGCCCTTCTTTATGACAATATTTCTCAACCTTGGCAACTTGAAGATATGTGGACTTCAATTCCCAGAATTCCTCAGTCAGCATGCTCCTAGGGAATTCTGAGAGTTGAAGTCTACAGACTTTCAAGCTACCATGGTTGAGAAACACTGCTGTATGCCCTCTCTATTAACAAAAGCACAATGGCCTTCTGGTTCCAGGGCCATGGAATCTTGGATAATGACCCAACTCTAGTTCAAACCGTTCTTGTTACCATTGGTGTGGAAGAGATCTATTTAGGGGTTTGCAATTTTGAAGAGTATGGATGACCAGGAGGGGTTGAGAAATTGATGGGCAGAGCATGCCAGTCTTCTGACAGGCAAAGAGGGTCACAGGTGCAGTGGTGAGGAGGCTGAGCAGCAGAAGTGATCAAGCAGCAACTGCATTACTGGCCTGAGCCCCATTGTTGCTCAGGCATGGGCCTTCCATTTATTTATTTATTAAACTTAGAGGCTGCCCAACTTTAAATGACTATTGGTGATTTACACTTAAAAAGATAGAAAACAATTTTTAAAAAGCCACATACGTTTGGACAAACCACACCCCATATACCAGTGATGGCTAACCTTTCTGCTGTCGCGTGCCAAAAGCAGGGGGAGCGCGGGGGGTCATGCAGGCGTGTGCCCACACCCTTAATTCAATGGCCCAGTGCATGCGCACATGACCCCCCCATGTTCCCCCCGCTTTTGGCACAGGATGGCAAAAAGGTTACTGGTGGACTTGGTAGGCCTGTTTTTCACCCTCCTCAGGCTCCAGGGGCTTTCTTGGAGCCTGGGGAGGGCGAAAATGGCCTCCCCCCCCAGAGGCCGGAAATGGCCCATTTCCCGACATCTGGTGGGCCCGGAAGGCCCGAAAATCAGCGGGCTGGCGCGCATATGCGCTCTGGAGCTCAGCTAGGACAATGCTTGTGTGCCCACAGATATGGCTCCGTGTGCCACCTGTGGCACGCGTGCCAGAGGCTCGCCATCACAGCCATATACCATAAGTTGCAACCAGTGGGCTACACTACTATCCTATGCAAAGCTTAGGAGAACAGCCAAGTTTTTAAAGATTCAGGAACATTGTCAGGGTGAGACCACCATAGAGCCAAGGAGGGAGGTAATTCCAGGGAGCAGACCCCACAAGAAATAAGGCATGCTTCCTGGGTCCTGATACATATACCATTGTTTGAGCGTATCTGAAGTGCACCAACTTAGATTGATCTTTTATGTTCCCTCAGTGATGCATTATGAGACCCATCTTTATTTTTTATTTCTTCATTTTTGCTTTTTATTATATTGTGTGGAATCTCTGATAAGTTGGGCAACCTAAAAAAAAACCTAATTTATAAGCAAACAAAACAGATGAAAGTGCCAGTTGCTGCTGAATCACCAGTCAGCAGTTCTAACCAGCGTGAACAGGTGCGAAAGTTGCTGAGAATTTTAGTTCTACAATGCTTAGAAGATTGTGTATTACTAAATCCTGACCTAAAATTGAAAAGAGTTATCTTATAAAATGCCTTCCATGTTTGGTCTTCTTAATCCCTGACTTTACCTTTCTATTCCTGCTCCTTCACTCTTGCAATGGCCTTATTCATAGCGCTCCCTAAGTGCAGCTTGAAGGTGCCATACTAAACATTCTTTAAGGGTGACTAATGTCATGAGTAATCTGATGCTAAAATAGTGTTTCTTTTCTTTTCTGATATACCTTATTATATGGGTGATGACAGCAACTGGTGAAGAGGTTGCAGAATTACGCAGTTCCTCTTGGTGACTTTTGACTGCTGTATACTTGTCTTCGTAATTAAGAGCCTCTTGGAAGTTGTCTTAAACTGGAGGTAGGTTTTTTTTTTCCAAGTGAGGTTTTCATAGACTCTTCTTTAGCAAGATTTATTGGAATGAGAGGAATTAAGTGTTGGACTAGGAATAGGGAGATTCCGGTTCTTATCCACACTCAGCTACAAAAGCTTGTGGGCTACTCAAATCACTCTTAACCCACCCTAAGTAGTAGGATACTTATTGTAGCAAAAAGGAGGGAGTATTAAACATATCCACTTGGGTGGGATATAAATCAAATAATCTCTTATTACATTAAGGTAGAGACTTTTCCTTCTTTCTAATAGCCTTTTTATATGAACTGTCAAGAGGCAGATCTTACTACTGAGAAGGAAAAAGCTTGCAGCTGGTTGTTGACATAACCTTCTGCTGAAAATATCAGCTGGGAAACTCACTATTACAAGGGATATTTGGGCTTAGGAGCAGTGGAGATCAGGTGCAAAGCTAGGAGGAGAATACCTTGCTGGGAGTGCTTGGCAAAGCTTCTTTTTTCCTGTGATAGAACATTCCAAATTATATCAAGAATATATTGTTGGAGTAGCAAAGATAGACGATACATGTCGATGGTAGATATTGGCCTGTAACTGGAAAAGAAGTGCTTGCCTAAACCAACCCAAAACAAACAACTTGACCTTGTCAATAATGGTTGGTGAATCTGATTTTATATATCTTGAAGCTGTAATGAAGGGGGGATGTCAGATGAAGAAGATAAACATTTTTTATTTTATTTTGGAAGACAATATCAATCACAAGGCTTCAGATCATGGTCTTGATGCAAGCTGAGGCCAGAATCCATGTATCCAAAAAGGAAGATTGGGGTTATTTTAGAGCAAGGGTGACCAACTGTGGCAACTTTAATTCTCCAGCCAGCCATTTGAAGTCCCCAAGTCATAAAGTTGCCAAGGTTGGACACTCCTATCTTAGAATAACATTGAGGTTGCTCTAAAAAAAAGGTCCACAATCTTAACTGACAACTGCTTCAGTCAAAAGTTTAACAGTTCCCTAACTCTCATCTAACCGTCTCTACAGTGGTTGGCCAGCAAGTATTTTTTTTCCTTTTTAATATTTTCCTTTTCTTTTTTAAAACTCTATAATATCCTGATTGGAATTGATGCCTTCGTCAACGCCCATGATAATCTTTTCTTACCACATTGGTGCCGCTTTCCATAGGCACAACAAACTTCAGATTTGCATGGAGAGAAAGTAGAGCTGGGAAAAAACAGAGATACTGAATCAGCACTAACATGAGCCACTCCTTTCTCCCATTTCTATTGTTTGGAGGACAAAATAGGGAGTGATCATGCCTCCCTCTCCACCCTGTCTAGGTTCAGAATGATACATTATATTGCCAAGGTTGAAGTAAACAAATCTGGAATTATCTGTGGGCAAATGTTTTGTCATAACTTCATCACAATTTGACCTGCAGAATTGCATATTATACTAAGCCTATGTTATGTTATATATACACTGTATTAACACAAAATGCAGTAAACAATATCCTTCATGTCAGGGTAAGAAAAGCTAAGCCTGCTTAATATTGATGTATTATGATGCAAATAAAGGAACATCTGGGGAGGGCTGGTATTAAAATTTGAT